TGGGTGGGTGTTTTTAAAGAAAACCTGCACACAAGAGGAAATAGCAGACCAGTATATACTGTATCAATGTGACAAGTGTGCCAGTGAGTCTGACTTGCAATGGCCACAAGGAATCTGGAAAGTCTGTTTCAATAATTAGTTGCTGCAGATTTCACTTATAGAAATGATGAGGCAATCTCAAGATGAAGAAGATAAACCAGTCTTACTTCAGCTGTTTTAAAAAGTCCTTGTAATAGTCAAAAGGTTTTAATCTTGCATGTACTGCATTTAAATTCCAAGATACAGAATGGAGACAATCAAGTGCACAGTAGCTGGACAGTAGGAAAGCCAAAGAAAACAGAAAAGTGTATTTCTTTTTGTTAGCTGACTTTTCCACAGAACTGACAGGCTTTACTGAGCACAAGGAACATCTTCCAATCAAACCTACAAACAGCTTTGCCTATGGTCTGAAATTTTAAAATACATAATTGTGTTCTCAACGCAAAAATATGGTGAATTTTCAAAGAAACAACTGGGTTTTATCCCATCTTATTCCCCTCTCTCCCACTAAGCAGCACCACGTCTTTGCACAAATCAAGCAGAATTTACATGAAATGGGTTTGGCACATGCTGTCTTATACCCGGCAAAGCTTAAACTGGAGTTTGCTGGATAGTTATGTTTTCTCCTCACCAGAAGATGTTGAGGTCTTTGTGCATCAAAAGCGGAGGGATGCTGCTTCGATGATAGATGTCCCTGTGGATGAAGAGGATAATTCGGATGTACTGTAGCTGACTGAATGGACTGATGTTCAATTTAAAGTTCTTATTTCTCTGATGATGGATTCCAATGCACAGATATTTGAGACTGTCCTTTTTCTGAAAACTTCAGTGCTTGTCCAAGCAGATGAGTGACAGAGGATGTATCTTTGCATGACAAATTGTTGAGAAGAGATTGTGGTGTGTGTTTTAGGGTCATTTCCTCTGTTAAATTCACTACATAAACATTTGGGTTTATTTCTGATTAGCTTTTAAGCAGCAGGTTTATCTTGAACAACCATCCTCCATTCAGTACAGCAGGTCTTTGGGCGCTCCAAAGGTATATTTAATGTACTCATGGTGTGGTGCTTTTTTCCCCCCCTGCCTGTATCTACACTTTGGGGTTGTTCTGTGCTAGCAATCTGGAAAAAAAATTCATCTTTAGAAAGGCTGGTTAGTTTGTTGAATTTCTGTCAGAGGAGAGCATGCCAGTCAGTAAAAATGAAAAAGAAAAAAAAAAACATTAAAAAAACCCCCAAGTACTGATTTTCTTTCCCCTCCATAAGCAGTCAGAGAAAAAACCCAAGTCTCCCTATCTCTTCTGTAATATACTATTTTAATGGGAAGTCTACCTAAAGATTCCAATTCCCACTTCATTTTGCTTCTCTTTGAGGATGCATCCTATATAAGGACAGTGATGTTACAGAAAGGAAACATGACTGTATTTTCAAACAACTATTAGCTACTTATTTCATGTTTTAGTAAGACAGAAGCATATTTTGTTATTACAAAAAAAGAATGTTGTTGAAAGTACAGAAGTTTAGAAAGGTAAAAATAATAAAACTTCCTGACACATTTAACATACTTTCAAAGTTTTACAAAGAAGAGAAAGCATCTATAGTAAAAGTACTAACATCATAACACTCACCAACACATTTTTCCGCTAGTTCTCCTAAGAAAGGATCTGACAATTTGGGGTTCCAATCCCTGGTATGAATTTGTAAAATGTGCTTTCGTGCCTGATTTAAAAAAAGAGTAAAAAAAAAGATCAAAATTACCAAGCCAAATCCATGCCATAATATTTTAGACAAAAATATTATTTATTCATGTAGATATAGTTATTTTACCTGGTTTTGACATGTCACTGAGATGCATAAAATAGAACTTAGCACTCAAAAGTGTCTCAAAAGCAAAGGTTTTCCCTTCTTTAATTTCACATATAAGCAGTAATTTTTTCAGTATACCAGTTACACATTTTAACTGCTGTTTAATCAACAACATTATTATACATAAACAGATGAAAACTCATGTTCTATTAGGAATTATCATAATTTTATAATTTCATTTTTAATTGCACCTATGATTAACAGCTTCTACTGTCAAATGCCTCACCAATTAATTTATTGCTGAGTAGCGTAGTACATACATAGAATAGAATCACAGGATCATTTGGTTGGAAAAGGCCTTTAAGATCATCGAGTCCAACCGTTAACCTAACACTGCCAAGTCCACCACTAAACCATGTCCCTAAGCCCCACACCTACAAGTCTTTTAAATACCTCCAGGGATGGGGACTCAACCACTTCCCTGGGCAGCCTGGTCCAATGAATACATATAAACATGAATATACATGAATTCCAAAACTACTTCATTTTGAAATTCTATAGAATACAAATACACCTATCAATATGCAAAGTAAATTTAATTTTAAGTATAAATTCCATGAAATACTATGGCTGAGTTTATAGAAGTCGAGAAGAAGGAACTGAAATGTTCCTGTTGCCAATATAGTAACATCTGGCTTTGCATGTACAATTTTTATGTGCTTAGCAGTCTACATGATAATAAAGCTATTTTCTCTCACCATAACTTCCAAAACCCCAATAGTTAGGGCTCATTATAGAAATTCATACAAACCCACAGTTTTTAGATAAGCTATACAGTTTAATGCGAACAATTTACCTCTCTGTTTAGTTTTAGCTATATTCTGAAGATTTGAAGTTAATACAATTTTGTGTACGCAATGAGTTTTTACTAAAAATGTCTTCCTAAAATTAAACATTCTTACAAGTAAGAATGAATATTTTTATTTCATAGGCTTGGTTGTCAGGCATTCAAATGTGTAATATACTAGAAATATTTATTAATAAATCTCCTTTGTAAGTTTTACCTTTTGATCAGGCAAGTTGAAAAGAAATTCCCTGTCAAAGCGACCAGGTCTCCTGAGTGCAGGATCTATAGAATCCAGTCTGTTTGTAGCACCGATTACAACTATTTCACCTCTATTATCCAGTCCATCCATGAGGGCAAGAAGAGTAGACACTATAGAGCTAAAAGAGAGTTTTCGAAAAAAGAATGTATAGGGAACACTGCAAGATTTTTTACTTTTTCAGCTGCAACATTCATAATTTCAAAGAGAAAAAGCTAAGTTAAAAAAACCAGTTGCATAACTGTTTCAAGTCTCAAAGCAAGAAGGAACCTTTTGATATAACCTGTGTTATACTTAGTATTATGACTCCAGTAAGGATTACATCAAATTCAAACTTCCTCCTTTAAAACTTTTGGGGAATATTAGCTCAGGAAGCCATTTATTGCGGGTCTGAAAAGTTGTCTTGCATTAACAGTGTATGCATCATCCTGTTTAGAGCAACTGTAGCACCAGGCAGAAGAAAGGTGTGTCAAGACAAAGGCACATGTTCCCATAACCTCCAAATCTGCTGGCCCCAAAATTTCCCTCTTGTCCCCCTCAGCTGAGTAGAGGGAGACATACACATAAATGGCACCACCTACAAAATGAAAGATACAAGTGCATTGCCATAAAAAGTGCAGTAAAACTGAGACTGAAGGCAGCCAGGAAAAATTTCAGCCAGCAGTAAACTGTTGTAAAAAAAACGTTTTAAAAAAATGACACAGGAACAACTCAAGGTAAGTTTGCACGTCACTCCATCCAGAATCAAAAAGGCAGGGGTGTCCAGTTCATTCATAGAACATTACAATTCATTTTAGAATATTTTTTTTTTTAAAACTGTTTATTCTGGCTGGCTGGTAACTGACAATCCGTTTACAGTACAAAACCAGCAACCAAAGGGAAGGCTGTGGAAATCTTGAAGTTAATAACATGCTGCCTGAAGGGTAATCTCCACTACAGCTAGATTCCCAGCAAAGTACAGTCTGTCTGAAGAACTGAGAAGACACCAAAAAAACTCAACAATCTGTCTTTTCTAGTGTAAGTGGGCTTAAGCAAAAGTAAAAACCTTCCTTGGGAACTGAGTAAAATTACACTTAAGAGTTTACCAAGGTAATGTAGTGTATACCAAGATAATGGTAGCATATAAGAAGTATTACCTGTGAATCTGATCTTGTCTACTAGAACGAACTGGAGCCAAGCCATCTATTTCATCAAAAAAGATTATAGAGGGTCTCATCAAGTATGCCTAGTATGCAAAAAAAACAATTGAATTCACTGTTAAATCATAATTTATCCATCAACACAGAAAACTGTTTTTACTACAAAGCATTAACGTGCTAAACTAACACATATATTGAGACACCTTTGTTAAAAAGTGTACGGACTGAAAATAAAACTGAATTTTCAACTACAGTAGTGTTTCAAAGCAGAATAGACTGCATTCTCCTTTGAATAAGCAAGATGGCACCAGTGTATCAGTTTTACTATGGGCTGGAGAGATTCAAGACAAACTGAGATACACCTTATCTGCTCACAACCTGTTCGTTTAGACATCTGTGTCTGAAAAGAGCTTTTGTTTGAGCAACTACATTTCACTGCTTTATGTGACGCTCTCTTCTGTCCATCATTTTCCAAGCCAAATAAGGATAATACAATATACACACAGCAGATGCAATCCTGAATCCTTCTCTACATAGCATTTATCTTGAACATGCCAGCCAAATTCAAACTCACTTATTTAAATATTTTTGTCAATTTTTACTCAAACTACTTTGTCTGCTTCATTAATGGACACGTTGACAGACTTCTTCCTCTCAGTTTTCAGAGCAAGAAAAACTGTTCTCAGCATTCCTATGTAATCTGAACAAATCCTGCCCAATCTATGGAAACTTACAGGTATTTAGTTTCAATTGCAAATAATTTTGGCTGCCTAGAATGCAAAAAACCCCAACATACAGACAAATTATATGAAAAATATAATTATTTTCTTCTAACCTGATCAAAAAGGAGTCGAAGCTGACGTTCAGATTCACCAACCCACTTACTGAGACAGTCTGCTCCTTTCCTCATAAAGAAAGCCACCTTTTTGTCTCCTTGACTGCATTCATTAGCTAGAGCTCTAGCTACCAAGGTTTTACCTGTTCCAGGAGGACCATAGAATAAACAGCCCCTGAAGATAAATGGATCAACACAGTCACAAACTTATTTTATGTCTCCTGAAAAACTCCAAGTCAAATTTTATAAAGAAGACAGGGAGCCTGGAGAAGAAAGACTTAAGTTCTAGTATTATTATTTAGTGCATTCAACATGACTTCATAAAATCTAGGTTTGTTTTATGCTTTCAGATCAGTAAATCTTTGCTTTGTAGAGAACATTAATCAAAGGCATATTAAGCTCCCAAAGGATTGTTTTACACTAGTTAAATACCTCCTCAAATATTAAATCTTAGGTAATATTTGAATCAGTTTTTATTACTTCTTTGGAGAGACATACTTCCTTTAAATGACAAAAATATCCCAAAATTTTCAATTTACTTAGATTATGTGTATCCATTTAAATCACACCCCAAGATGCCTGATTAATAACTATTAAAACCATAACATAACATTATTGAGATTACTTCTATAAAAGAAACATCAGCATTTAGCTTGATTTAGAAAAATATTTGACAACATAATGGAAAAAAAAGCAAGGTACTACTAAACAGAACACTTGAGAATTCTTTCTTTCATCAAATCACAAAGTTTACCTTCCTACCACAAGAAAAATAAACTAGATTTTTGTAACTCTTTATTCTGCTTATTACATTCTGATAGACAAGTGGGGTAGCAAACATGGAAGTCTATTTGAACTGTAAACACTTCAGGGAAAGAATCAATCTCCTATGTGTTTTCAAGTGAAGCATTCTTTAGGGCTTAATAAAATAAAAATACAACAATAAGAGTAAATACACCTACCTTGGTGGCTGAATTTTGAATTTTTCAAATATTTCTGGATAGAGAAGAGGAAATACTACCATTTCCTTCAGTGCAAGGATATGATGGCTCAATCCCCCTATACTATCAAAACGCACCTTAGAAAAAAACCAAAGCATACAAAGCATATATTGTAACAGCTTTCCACAAAAGTACCTTTACTTATAAAACAACATATTTGAAACAAATTACAAACAACATTGCATTGATCAACAGGAGTTCCCCAAATTCTAGAAGTGTAAAAAAAGTTGAGAAAAGTCAACTCCTGGTTGCCCACATGAGGTTTATCGGGTTCGCAAGTTAACTGTGCCAGGGATGCCTAGACATATACAGAGATCCAGCCTATGTCCGAGAGCATTTTTAAGCTCAGGCACAGCATAACATGAATATAGTCAACACAATTCTAGACAATGGTTCAGCCCTAGTAATAATTCAGCAGCTTCTGCACAACACACACCATAAGCTAACATGCATCATTATTTCTGAATAGGCATGGGACCCACATGGCTAGCACCAAGTTAACCAACCTGGGTGGTCAGCACTTCTGTTTTCTGCACTGCTCAGCATATCCCCGTTGCTACTATTACAAGTAATCACAAACTGACTGTAAACAAAGAAATATAATTGGGCAATTGATATTTTGACTTATTTACGATATGTATGCAGCCTGTTGATTACCTACAAGCCAAAAGGAAGTGCTTTGTAGCCTAAAGGAATAAACAGACAACAGCTTTGGAAAAAAAAACCAAATAAGATAAGTGAGCTTATTATGAGTTTACTTCAACTCTAGGGAGAGGCTGTGGGTGAATTCTGCTTATGCATAATTGAGGGAAGGAACATAAAAAGTTTTAACAAAACCTACCGATTTATCAACAATCATAGGGTCAACATCAGCCAAACTTGCCCCAACTTTCACACGTTCTCGCAGGATCCCACTAGCTAAGTCTTCTGCTCTAAAGTTTAAAGGCAGGCACCTGTTCAACGACAACAAAAAAAAACCACCAAATAACTATTGTTCCATTTTGATTGTTTTGCTGGAATGGGAAGAACCACAAGATTAAATGCCTTCTACTACCTAAAGGGATGACCTTCCTGGATTGATAAGGTAATCAAAACTACCTTTTTTATTGTGGTAATTATTCTTGTATATCTGGAAGTTCCTTAAATATAGTTTTATGCCTCCATACAGGTATTTCAATCTGGAGAACTAGGCTGGACAGACTATTTTGATTAAACATGGAAGGAACAACATTGACCAAAAGAACAGGACACTCTCCACTGGCAGTGATAACTGCATTAAGTTCAGTATGGTAAGAAAACGATTAACAGTACAAGGAAAACAAATTTTAAAAAATATAGCTCATTAGAGTCCAAAGAAAGGAAATAATAATATTTCTTGCAGATCGGGCGTAACTCACATCCACCTGTTCCAGCTTCTTAGTGTATACAAAGAAGCTTTAAACCCCTACACAGATATTATGTCAGGTCAAATACAGAGTTAAAGGGAGGAACAAAGGTACCACTAACATAGAGGTTACAATTGGAACTACACTTTTGGTAGTTGTACATCTTTGGAATTCCTCAGGTTGGAAAAAGGAATGGTGTGGCAGACAGGAAGAGATGGAAAAAGAAAGATGAGGAAACACTTTTTTGTCTGTTCAGTTTTCCAACTAACGTATCTGTGGCAGTAAGTAAATTTATTGATACACTTTATAGATCTTCCACTTTTAGATACCTGGTGAAAAAATGGAAGGTCAAAAAAAAAATGTGTTGGGTGTGTAGAATGCACATATTATTACACAACAGGAAGAGAGAAGAATAAGAGCTGGTACTGGGAGTACAAATGAACTAACTGGGACCAAGTAAAATGGAGAATAAAAATTCATTTTAACCAACAGAAGTTGTCTGTCTTATAACCTAACCGAATCAAACAGATATTCTTATCTTTCCATCTTTTCATGACTATTGTTAATCATCTACTCGTAAGACTTCAATAGCTATGTTAATACATAACCAGCCATCTTCTTACACTGTGTCTGCAGGTAATCACAGGCAGAATCAAAAAAGTCTGCAGAATTGATAGAACATTAGTTCTGCTTGTTTTCTGCTGAATAATAAAAATCAAACCCTCCTAGACACCATAGATGTTTTGATACCTATTTCTTGCTCTGGCCATGCTTTTAGATTTTCTTCTCTCAAAACGTTCTTCATCTGAAGAGGTTGTATCACTGCTGTGAATGGCATGCTTCTTTCTCCTATTGAAGTGGCAAAATAAACATAAAACTCAGTCCTTTTTGCAGTAGAACAGCATGTTTTGATTCTTTTATAAAAAGAAAGTGCAGCACTGTTCAAGTTTAAGATGCATGCAAATTTTAGTTTTAATAAGTAAGTATCAAAATAATCTGGGAGGGGAACAACATCTTTTATTGTCACAGGGATATCTGATTTCAACATGAACATTACTAAAACAGCGGATGCCCATAAGATACGTGGTCCTGTCCGTGTTACCTCAGCAAGCGTGATTCAGTACTCAATCGCTAAGCTGCTGAAGTTCATCAGACAGCAACTGCACTTAGGAAAGCTTCCAACCACTTTAGCCACCTCCAACATAACACAATAATCAAGATCTCCTTACTCAGTTTCATGCTTCCCTTTCAATATTCTTTGAAAAAATTCCGTACTTCCTAAAGCATATGGTCGCTTTTTATGAGGTCGTTAATTCTGAACAGCAGAACCGTTTCACAAAATACCTGTACTGTAATTTAACTTTGATCTGAATCTAAGTAAAATTACTATTCAAAGTCTGCATGAACCATTTCTTATTTTAGTATAACGGTATTTCAGAAAACTGAGTATTTCAGAAATATTAGGGAATGTACATTACATCTTCTGTACAAAAAGGTGTTCAGTTTGACACCAGTTTGAAAAAAGTCAGCACTTCTTTTGCATGAAAAAGTTGGCTACTAGTAAAAATGACAAGGGATAAAATGAGAGTGGACCAATGAGCATGCTAAAACTGAAGGGATAATACCTTTCACACCGTTATATCTTACTAGCAAGTACAAGTCCTGAGATTACCCAACAAAATGTCATATACACTTTAAGAAAAAAAAAAATTATCTTCAAAATTAAATGTTTTCATTTATATTACAAAGAAACTTGTAGAATCCTAAGATTCTGCTATTATTTTATTTACTTTTCATATTTTCACTATGCCATTAATTGAGCAATAAGACAAGAGTTTCAGCTGAGACTAGCCTTCATTTACTTGGATTCTGTTCATGGACAAATTTATCTTTTTGAAGTTTTGAGTAAGTTTCTTTTTCAAAAAATGTATTAAGCTCTAATCTCATCTATTTTGCTAGATAAAGCCTATTGACAGTTTCCAAGACAACTTGGTGTATTCCAGACTTCTTTGACACAAAAGGTTAGAGTCAAAAATGATGCTTGGTAAATATTTTATTAAGTTGTTCCTATTACTTGGATGAAATTTGATCTGGAAGAAACCAAAAAACATACCTTGATTTGTTTATTTTTGTAGAATAGAGAGGGGACATTTGTTAAACTGCTGCTTTGGATTTAAACACTAAAAATACACCCTTGCTAAAAAAAGCTACAGTGTGCAATGCACAACTCTCTTTCCAGTATTTGCAGCACACCTGTTTCCATTCCATTTATCACAAAGCTTCTACTGCTATTATGAAGTGCTATGAAATTCATTTTTGTATGCTCATCAGGATCTGAACCTAAGATACAATTCAAGACCCACACAAATGCGTGAATGAACTGTACAACTCATTCAAGAATGTTTTGAAAATCAGAGCTAACAAAAAAGCACTGAGGGAAAGCAAACAAGCACGTACCAAAAGACTGACATTTACCTGATATGGCTTCTTCTTGCAGGAGATCTGTGAATATCGAACAGTGTATTTTCCCTCTTTTTTTGATGAGCTGGCACTGAGTAAGAGAAGTTAAGGTTTGTAACATCAATTACAAAACAGTAATAAACTAATCTAAATGCAGTGCAAAAGTGCTAGATTATTGCTTCACCAATAATGTTATCACTGGTTTCTCCAAAAGCTCAAATTAAGAAAAGAACTTGGGGGGGGGTAAATCAAACCTCTTATGCTTTATTTCACTATCACCATACTTGGCTTGATACAGTCATGGGAATACCACCCTCAGGCTCCTCAAATCATCACAGCTATGGCTATCATGGCACAGAATGTAATTCATCCAGGGCACGAGCATTTTTAGTTTATTTGCAGGACATGAAACTCCATACAAAAACCTCTGCACAGCTGATAATATGGGATATCTTGAAATTTCTCTTAACAAGTAAACCACAGCATTTCTCTATCACAGTCTTAATTTCCAAGTTGCCTTCAGATATAGCACACTGCACACACCATTGTAATCTAAATCAAATATGCACAGAACACCTTATTTCAAACAGAAGTATTAAAAGGTTCAAAATCAAAAGACGCTACGCTGAAACCTGTATAGATCACTGAAGGCATGTCCTATGAGGTGTGAGGTGTGGCTAAGGACACCGGGGTTTGTCTCGTTTGGAGAACAGGAGGCTGAGGGGCGACCTCATTGCTCTCTACAGCCCCCTGAGCAGGGGAAGTGGAGAGGGAGGTGCTGATCTCTTCTCCCTGGGATCGTGACAGGAAGCATGGGAATAGCTCAAAGCTGTGTCAGGGGAGGTTTAGACTGGGCATTAGGAAGCATTTCTTTACCAAGTGGGTGGGCAAACACTGGACCAGGCTTTCTAGAGAGGCGGTCGATGCCCCATGCCTGACAGTGTTGAAGAGGCATTTGGACAATGTCCTTAATAACATGCTTTAACTTTTGGTCAGCCCTGAAGCGGTCAGGCAGTTGGACTAGATGATCGTTGTAGGACCCTTCCAACTGAACTATTCTGTTCTAAATTTCTCACCTAGGCAAAACGTGGTAACCACTGCTCTGCAATTTATCTACAGTTATGAATTAGGCTTACCACTCAAGAAGAGAATCAGGCATAACAGTAACTATTTTTTCTATGTAATTATCTAATTTGATTGATCTCCGAATGCAACTTCTGCCAACTATTTCTTGACCTAAACCCCATTCACCTCCAACCCTGAGCCCAGCACATGGCAGTACCTGCAACGTTTAATGAGGCAGCACGCGCTAGCAATGCCACCACCACTGACAAACTGATAGATTGCGTCTCAGTAGTTGTATTCACACGGTGAATAAAACCAGAGGTAAGATCAAAGTCACTAATGCTGCATGGGAACTCTGTCAGAGGTGAGGAGCGGTCATCCAACCTTTCCCTCCCCACACCCATGGCATTCTTGGAGATCAGCAGAGCGGAACTGCATGAGCCCTGCCTAGTTCCTCACCTATTGGAGGGGCCTGGTATCTCTCAACAGTTTTTCTCTGTCTGAGATTATATGGCCGATCATTTTCTTCTCCCTCAGCCTCTTCTACTTCTATATCTCCATCTTCTTCCTGAGACTCTGTTGGGGGGGAAAACATTTTCAGAACACTTCTACTTGATGTCAGGGCTATCTTCATCCTAAAAGTTAACATTCTAATGGTCACTGAGAATTATTCCCCTCCTATTAACTAACACTAACTGGCAAATCACTGGAAATTTGAAGACCAAGATAAATCTACAGCACATTGTCAAACTTCCTTCTAGCTTCCCACAGAAGGTTCTGGAAAAGCAACAGAAAGAAAAATAAATGTAGTCAAATTAATTTTAGTTGTAAAGTACTTCAAATATCACTTCTACCCACTATCCTTTTCCTTCAATAATTATTCTTCAAATTAAGAATAATGCCTTTCTTCTCACTCTCTTCCCACAGGAGCCTAAGAAAATCAAGTATTTGACAGAGCATGAAAGTAAGTACAGCTTTACAATTCACAATATAATTTTTACACAAAGCAAATAAACACACTGTATAAAGGTACGACCTAGGTCCATCTATTACCAGGATCAGTATTTCCATCCATGGATCTCAAAATTAAGACTGCATTCTTATTAATTAGGACAGACCATACCTCCTACAGCAGTTTCAGTTCAAAATTGAGACACACTACGCTGAACCCTGTATGGATCCCTGAAGTTTGAGTCTGATTTCTTAAGGAAGCCAAGCATGCTGTTGATCATGCCATCAAAGTTAGCCACAGTCCCTTCTTTCTCAATACTTTCTGAACCCACTGGTTACTTCCATTCAAATTTTTAAAGGAAGGCAGAATTTCAGATACAGTTGTATGTCTACAAGCCTTCTAAAATTCAGAGGATGGATAGAAAACAGAAACTTTAATTAATACCTTCCCCAAAGGAAGGATGCAGAACTGACTATTACACATTCTTTTTGGTAACTGCCACACAGCATATGAGAAATAGCGAGTCAGTTAGAACATGCATAGTTGTAGACTACACGCACCACATCCTGGCTTCCATCAGACGATTGTTACAGGGAATATAAGGAAACCTCCACTTACTTAGTGTTACAGAAAACAGGAGTAAGGGAATGCAGTATATAAACATTTAGAAACCAGGGTTTGTTCTGCTACTTTCAGATAAACCTGCTTTTGTTTAAAGAAAACTATTTGTAGAGGTCCCTAAAACTTCTCCTCCTTCTAAAGAGGAGGAATCCTTCAGTGTGTACTTATTTGCAATAGTCTTGTTAATTGCTCTGTTTAACAACTCCAAATCCAGATCCAAAACCAAATTACTTTCTATAGTGCAATATATTACTATCTTATGTTGAGGAGAGCTTTGTTTTATAAGTATTTCAGACAAACCCTTACAATTCTTTACAACGCATACCTTCTTCTTCCCCTTCTGTGGATACTTCATGGTGGTTCTGAATCCCATAGCTATTTCTCCTCAGTGATTTCCTTCTTCTTTTCACTCGAGAATACATATCCATGTTTTCCTGGAATAAAATTCACGTACACTCCTATCAGTACTGTCCCACATCACTCACAGTGTTAGCCCACAGTTCAGTAAGTAATATTCCACATAATCTTCAGCCCCCAAGTCTTTTTCTAACACAGCCCTCCACAGGTAGACTACAAAAGCAATCTCATTTAATAGGTGGTAAAGTAAGTCTCTCAGTACCTAGTCCATCTAATACATAGTTAACATCAGTATCAAGCTGGTTTAGAGAACAAAGCAGATGACAGTCCCTGGTCCTGTTTTCAGACTACCATTGTGTGCTTCAAACCAAAGGAGAACCACCACAGTACCTCATGAGAGCGTGGAAGTCAATTCATCAATAAAGAAAACACGATTTTGTATATATCTGTGAATCTTGTTCTGAATTTGAGTTTATCAATTTTTTTTTAATGTTATCCACTGAAGATGACCTGAATCCTTTTGAGAGACCTACAGACTAATGTATGGAGATTGCAAAAACAACCACGCTCCCCCTTCATATTACTTTTATTTAAGATCTGAGACACTCTGCACTTACAAATTCGGTGTCTGTCCACATTCGTAGCCGTTCCACTTCCCCAGACCGCCTATTTCTCCTGATGTTAATATTATCCATTTCCTGGAGGACAGCTTCAGCAGTACTAAAATACATGCAACAGTTAACACAAAAAAATTCAGTCTTAAAATAGTAGACATGCAGAACTTTTTGCACAGCATCCAACAACCTAACATATCTAATTCTATGGTCTGTTACAGCTATTCCAAGGTCTACAAGTCAACTAAATATACAAATGAATTAAAATCTGAAAATTTTAGGACAGCTTCTTGAATCTATCAATTAACTACAAAACCAACCATAATAAAGAAAACTGAAAAATGAACCCACAGAATATAAACTAAAGAGTATGCAAAAGAAGAAATGCTGATGCTATTAAAATTTGGGGTTCAAATCGGGCTGTAACATTTAAAAAAAATTTTTTTGCTCAGTGTAAATTGTAGCATATAAATTTGTAACTGCTTAGATGTTATATTAGTTGTCACATAAGATTAAGTTTGCAGAATAAGAAAGTAAAGCTTTTTACCTACATAATTATAATATTGGGAAAGCAATTAATGCCTCTACCCCATGAGCTTTACAGCTTCTTACCCTGGCCTCAGAAAGACACTAATACATAAAGGATTTTTTTTTTTTTTTAAATGTTAAATCAGTAACACCTAGAATTTCATCATTCATTATTTGAGCTCACTACCATTTCTCATCTACTATTTAATTAGTTTATATTTTCATTATCTGAAGCATTTGTAAACAGCTGTCAAAACAATAGTGGTGTATAAATAATAACCTTGGCCAAGATGCTTCATTGCTAAGGAAGAAAACAACAGAGTATTCGCCAGGCCAAGTCAATTATTTGGCCACCTGTCCTGAACACCTAGCTACTGCTCTCTATGGCAATTATGACAGATTTCCACTGGAATTTTACTGTAATTGTATAATAATTGTAAGAAGGCAGAAACTTTCACTTTGTTTCTTTCAAGCTGTTTAAAAGTAAATCTAAAGGGTGAAATCCTGCCTAGAAAGAAGTCAATGGAAGTTCTGGTCACAGAAGTCAGTAAAGTCAAGATTTCGTTATGAGCGTGCCTCTCAATTTTAAACAATTCTTCTAAAATATCTGTGATGTGTGACATAACCACTTCAAGTAAAATCATGCTATAGGTCGCTATCAAAGAAAATAGGGTTGGAAGGGACCTGGAAAATTCCACCTGCTCTGCCAGGCAAGAACAAAGTACACAATACCTAAATCATTCGTGGCACATTTGTCTAACCTGTTCTTAAAAACCTCCAATGATTATGGGACACACTGTTATCAGTATAAGTTCATATATAGACTTCAGTACCATGATCTTATCAAATTACAATCTTCATGGTAGACTTTTTCCTATTGTTGATGAGGAGAGGGAGATTCGACTGCAACTAGAAAAATAAATGTAACTCAATATAAATTTGTAAACCAATACCAAGTAGTTACTGAGTAAATTGAAAAAGAAAATTAAACTAATAAAAGATTCAACAGAATACATTTAACAATGAAGATCATACTTGGCAATTAAATGTTTATGTTTAAATCATTTTCCAAGCACTAGAGCAAGCAGTCTCTCACAGATGCATCTGTTTAAGACCCAATTTACAAGTGGGAAAATTGAGATATATTAAGTGACCTGCCCAGGGCCACACAGAAATAATATTTCAAGAAAAGTATTTCTGGCTCCCATTCCTATGCTCAGACCAGACCGTGCCTCCCTCTCTGACCTACTTTGTCTGCACAGTAAATGTCAAAAAGTAACACCCACCCTATGTGAATTACTAACAAATGGTAAAAAAAAAAAACCCAAAAAAAAAGAAAGCTACAAACTTTTGATATTTTATGATCAAAATCATACAAGCAAAATCTATAAGGCTTCCAAGCATTACTGCTAATCACCGATTTACACCACACTTAGGGTATCACTACATAAACAGGTTACTAAGAAACAAACTAGGGTGTGGATTTACAGCATGTCAGCCGCTCTGCAATAACTGCCAACATACACAGTTTTATCCAGGTGTAAACGCAAAGTAGCTTACTCCTCAATGAAAGTCTAGTAAGCTGCTTTGCATCTGGAGCGTGGATAACACAGGCAGTTACAGCACAGGACCCAGCCTGTAACCCAAACCACAATCTAGCTTGTCTCGACGCCAATACATTCCCACAGTAGAACACATAGATGGCACTGGAAGACAGGGTTTTCTAACTTTTTAAAAAAGTCATTAAGATGCTTTGTGAATACAACTCAAGTATCCCCACATACCTGTTTACTAGCTGATCAAACAATAAACTCTGATTCAAAGTTTCAAATCTGTTTTTCCTGGACCGACAACTTTTTCTGACTTCTATATCTCCGTTTATGCAAGCATGGTCCCCATCTCCCTTTTTTTCCCCTCGAAGGGGATGGCTTTTGAGAGCTAAGAGAAATTTGTATTACTACTTCAAAATGCAGGAAACAACATTTTCACAAACAAGAATTAGTAAGAGAATACTTAGCAAGGACAATAAACCAAAAGTTATGGAGCACAGTATGAGCACCCTTATATTCACCAAAGAAATGTATTTTTAAAATTCCTACCAAAGTTGTTTTACAAGCTATTTCTTCAGACTCAAGCTTCTTTCCTTATAAGATAATCTTATTTAACGATGACAATTTGGCATTCAAATATCCATTCAATATTTTTAAATTAACATCAATACTAAAATGCACACTTGGCCCACAGTTTCAATTCTTAGTCTTTCAAATACGGTATCAAAAGGTCAGATACAACACATTGATTTCACAAGCAAATCTATATCAGCTACTCTGTACAGTGCCAGACAAAAAGGGATCCCACTTCTGATTGTTCCTTAGGCACCAAAATAAATAAAAAATACCAAAAATACTTGATGGATTAACACATACATAGAGTCAACACAGAACTAAATGACACAGAATTGATGAAAAAGGGACACAAAAGACAAAGTGCTTTTCGCTGAGATATGCAACGAGATGGCAAGTTTGTAAGGTACAAGCATATAGGAAAACTGTTCAAGGTAGCAGGAACTGCAGACAAGGCAGGTCTCTATAAAGCAATAGTAGAGTTAAGCAATGTTAAGAACCACAGAAGGCCAAATTTTAAATGAGCAAAGAGAGTAAGTAAATTAAAGAGACCAGCTGGGAGAGGAAGGCCAAAATTAGTTCGTAACAGTAAATTTGGGAATTAAGGAAAGCATCAAGATCATGGCCAAGAGGTCTGAATTGAGAAGAGAAATGGAATTTCATCTAAGAATGTTCCCCATGTCCACAGAGAGCATCCAAGATGTTGACAGAAGAAAACTGAGCCAAAACAGTAACTCTTCTGGTCAAAATGGTCAGAGTAATCAGTAAAGTTATTAAAAATACATGCGACTGAAAATCATTGACATAAAATTGTTAAATGTAAAAGTAGATACAAAAGGGTCCACTGTAATACACTTACATAAGCTACGTCCATTTGGTAGTGTAGCACCAGGCTGAGAAGTTAACCTAGGAAACAATTATATTAGACACACAAATAATGTTAACACTCCATAGCCAAGCAAAAGTTACACAGTAAAAATAGAACTTCAAATGTAGAATGTTACATGATACACTATGACTTCAAACCTTTGTGACACGTAGCCTCTGAAGAGTTCGCTTCATGCCCAGCATTGGACTGAGGACAAAACTGCCAAATACCAATTATGTGAATCCCCCCAATTATCTAAACATCTCTTTTATTAATCCCTCCAATGTTCCCTCATGCCATGTCCTGCTATTAACTCTCCCCTTAAGTTTCAGAACAGGATCTTTATATTGCTCTTCAAAGGCAATTATCATTCTAACACTTAGATAAACTAGTGGAAGTACAAAAAGCCGTTTTGTACTCAGAGAAAAAGAATAAATTTAACAAAATTACCAACTTAAGTGAATGGGATTAATTTATGCTGGGTGTACTTAAAAATCAGTAAAAAATATTTTCATGTTCTCTACCAATCTGGTATTTTGAATTTCTTTTTAAATCAACTTTTAGGAAAATTAAGGCCTGCTACATCATAGTCTAATACAAAAACATATTCCAGAGTCCTCTGCACTTTTACTGCATAAGCAATTGTTCCTTCATTCCTTATCTTTGAAAAACATTCTTATCTATCAGACATGATTTTACCAGAAGATAATTTAGAGTAGAATACAAATGAATAAAAACTCTACAACCACTTGCAGGCTGTTAAAAGTAATTTGTCAACATAGCTATGCAAAAAACCAAAATATATCAGGCAAAAGTAAAAAAAAAACCCAACAAACTCTATTTTACCCTCAGAAACACTAAGTACTTTACAGACAAGTGAGCGGTACATACTGCACACCAGTACCGGATAGGGAGGTGTTCTGCCTATCTCCTTGTTCTCAAACTAGAAAGCTAAAATGAATTTGATGGGAAAGAGAAAAAGGAGTGGAAATCTTAATAATACCCAATGCAATCTGAGCTTGAACGTGACCAAGAGGTCAACAGACCACAGAGAGTTCAACTCAGAGGCACTGAAGATGTGGGCTTTGCTATTATTTTCCTAAGAAATGTGTTACAAATCCTTCCAAAACAAAGGTAACCTAAGGATTTTTGCAAGGGTTGGGTAGCAACACAGAAAACCACGTTTTCAGAAGTCATGTCCACATCCAAGTTTCCAATAACATTTTTCTGGTCAGATACTTCAACTACTTTAGAAACCACAAATGAAGTAGTGAAATTTGATTACATTAAAGGTTTAGCAACAAAAGTTTTGGAAAAAGTCTTAGCAACTCAAGATCACTATTAGGCCCAGTGCTTTGGATTTTGGCACAAAACAACAAAAAAAGGTCAAATGCAAAGACACGTCGCAGTGGGTTCTACATGAGTAACAACATGAGTTTCAGTATCCTGGCCAAATTTCATTTGACAGCAATTCAAATTCTCCCAGACGCATTAAATACTCTTTTCATCTCTTAGCATTTCTGATAGGTACAGTACAAGTCAACACTTTTATAAGTGAAAAAAGAAACAGAAGGTGCATGAGTTTCAATACATTCCCAGATGACCATGGCACATAATATGTTGTATTTAATTTATTCCGTTTTAAAAGCGAAAAACAAAAAAAAAAGATATCTGTCTTAAGATTTACATAGTTTTTAAACATACTTCATCCTAGCAGATGACAGTACAGTAGTGAATTACAGTCATTCTTACATACAAAACATTGCAAGAACGATTTTGATTTGTACGTAAATATGAAATACGCATCTACAAAAGAATCGGTATTAACTGAAAGTTCATTGCCCAGGAACATACTGCCTACACTGTCCCATAATTACTTGTAATCATCTGAAGAACCTTATGAACACAAGAATGCTTTGTAAAATATTATTAATCAGAGTTATAAAATGAAACAAATTACTTCTCTTTCGAGTTATAAAAATGTGGCAGGATTGAGGCTATATTTAATAAAATACAGTAATTTACTTGAGTGCTTATAACCAAACAGGGAAGAGAGGCTGAAAACAATGGAAAGAAAGAAACCTGACCATTATCCATGCCCTAAAGATAAGGATAATACTGATTTCCTAATTAAAATGCCATGTTTTCTTATAGCTTGAGTACATAAAAAACACCAATTAAGTCACTAAATTTGGATGTATCAAGAATCTAGAATTCAGACTGCATCTCAAATAAAATTACTTCCCATTTTTGCACAAATTTGCATAGAAAGGAAACACAGAGATGAGAGGATTGATGTAACCCACGTTCCTGGAGTCTTAAACTAAAGAAAGTTGTATGAAAATAATACGCTTCAAAAATAGTCTTGAGCACGAGCTGCAGCTCACTGCAGAAATAGCATAAGCGGGTTAACAATACAGGAAAAACTGGTAAGACTTCATTTTTCTCTTGGCACCAAGTTACCTGGACTGTCCAGTTGAGATGCTCCATTCCTCTCGCTGCCCAGTACTGCGTGATTTTGATTTGTCTTTGCACACAGGATCAGCATGTTTTGAGGTACGTTTGGCGGGAGGAGATATGTGGCTATCACTCAAACTAGCATCACTGCCTTCATCTTTCTGAAAAGAAAAAAAGCATCAGACCATACTTAATTGGCTCACTTGTATGTAACCTTACAGAAAAAGAAGAAAGTTACTTTAGTAAAAGGGAAGTCTCTATCAAACTCTTAGTAACCAGACTGTGTGAAATATTAAAAATGTTTATTCTGAAAACATGGAAACTACAATTTAATTTTTAATATTAAACTTTCCTATAATATTTTACATTTATTTCTGAACAAGCATTCTGTTTCTCTAACCCACTGTATTTTGTATATCATACATGACGCTGCTACTCTCACCCTATTTGCAAAAGAATAGTGCAAATAAAGAGAAAAAAGGACTGAGGAAAATAAAGATGCTTAGAAACACAGCATGAATTTATTCTACTGACATTATCTTTGTCTTTAAAATGCTTAAACAGTCACATTATGCTCTTCCTTCTTGTAAGACTTTTGCAAACCTTGTTCTCTTCTTTAAACTGTCAAACACACAGGAGAAACTGAAAGTGTACTTTTACAGCACTTTTTGTCCAATGTGTTCACTAACAGCATTATACACACTAACATGAGTCTTAACACCTTTAAGAAGCACCTAAACACTGCAGGGCGAGGGGAGCGGGGGGGTGGGGGTGGTTCTGTTGTGCTTATCAGAGGTAATGCAGGCAGAAACTCAAAGATAGTAGCAAGGGATTACTTCAGAGCCGTACAAAACAAATGGACAGACAGCAAATTTTGGAGGATCTGCTTCTGTAACGGTGAACTACAAAAAGAAAAAAAAAAACCAACAAGATTCTAGAAACAACAAATTCTAGCTCATGGAAACAGTCTTGATTTAAAAACTAAATATCCTCTCTTGCAACAACAGAGTAACCAATTTCCAAATATTAAGATCCAGGGATTGTCAGTAATCACTTCAACTAAGAACAAAAGATAATTTTAGTTATATGCAAGGAGACGATCGCGGAAGTCCTGTTTGTTCATCAGGCTTATTAACAACAACAATCTGATTTGCATTCCAGATAATTCAACATCATGATGTCTCATGTACTCAAGAAAATGTAAAAAAAAAAAAGAAAGTCTTTTTCTTCAGAGAGGAAGGTAGACTATCATAGCATGGTATTTAGAAAGTGGCAAAGCCTAAGAAACCCGAATGTAAGGGTGCTGCTCCACAAGACAGCTCAGCACCACCAAACCCAGGGGCTGGCCCACGCGCTCCCTTGCCTGGCTACACAGCACCACTCAATCTCCTTTGATCTTCTTCTGAGGCTTCTCTGACCCACCCATAAACCACATCAGCTCAGTAAAGCTTCAGAAGTTCACTTTCCTTCTGTTAGATTAGCTTTCTACCTGGTTAGTGAGCTGGTTCATTTCAGTGAGGGATCAGACAAGTACAGAAGATACTGCAAGAAAACAACATGAGGTGAGGATGGGACCACTGCCTGCAGGCACAGAAAGCTGCGAGTCAAACAGGCTGACTATGTCATGCCTTAACATTTATTTTTACATATTATATATCAATATATAAAATACCATATATA